GGGCTGCGGGGCTGGTCATGGCCCCCCCCATCCTGGTGGCACCCGGGGCGGACCGCCCCCCCCCCCGCACCCCCTTAGTACACCACTGCCTCCCTTCACCCTGCTTTAACTGCAGTTATATAGCTGCTAACAGCCCCTACAGGTGAGGCTAATGACCTCGCTAGGCAGTGAGCCAGAACTCTATGGAAAACCTGGGCTGGACTCATGCACAACCACTCTGACAGTGGGTGGAGAATCGGCCCACCCTGCTCTTCCGAATACTCCACCCCAGGGACCCAAATAACAACAGAGGAAAAAAACCTACATTTAAACTTCACTTTCCCTGGGGCTGCATGTGCTCACCCACATGTCAGGATAGTGGCTGTGCAAAAGTCTGCGTGCCAGATATACACCCCTGACCACCATCCCCAACACTCTGTTACAGTATGTATGTATACATTTAAATATGTGTTTTGCTACTAATATATTTTTATTTTACTTTTCAGGAACTAGGGTGACTGCCTGACAGCTCAGGCAGTCTCCTTGCAGGCCTTTCCATTGCCTGCTTTTGGGGCCATGTGATCACCTGATCACATGGCCGCAAGGGCCTGAGAGAGCAAGAGGTGCTGCAGGGGGACTGTCTGGGCTGTCAGGCCGTCGCCCCGACAAGTATCGTGCAGCAGGTAAGTATTAAAAACACAGGTGGGGCTGCCGGACCACTGGGCATTATATGCCACCCTACAGCATTAAATCACAGCTTTTGCAGGACATGTAGAACGCCCAGCGGCATGAACAGGTTAATAGTGACTTCCGTATATAAATCATCTGAAAGGTTTTTCTTATAGATTGTGATTATTTGAAAAGCTAATCCAAAAGAATTTAATTGAGGTCAAAGTTGCAATTAAGCCCCATTTCATTTACTTTAAATTCCAAATCAATCAAAAATATGTCATATAGAGCATGCCTTAAATTTACAAAATTTTGACTAGAGGCACCCCTGTCATATTTTGTTAGTTATAGCAATGGTTGAAAGAAAAGGCTTCTTCTCAGACATCACAATGCAGATTCTCTGGAGTATCTTGAGGGATTCTTCATAGATCTGTGTTATATTCTTGCATACGCACAAGAATATGGAGGTGATATGGCTCTTGGTGGATAAAGTGTAGGAGCTTAAGATGGACATCAGGAGATATTGGCAACAAGTGAGAGGTTACTGTAATTATTTCTCCCGACTTGTTCTTCTTTCCTTTGCTCTTCAAGTGGACAATTCACCCTCAGGAGCCTTTGCAAAATATGCTCCATTAAGAGCAGATGAGGCAGTTGTGTTTTATACTTGGCTCTATTGAACACCTCACCTAAGTAAAAGTTTTGTGTTACTGGCATGTGGTAAAAGTGAATTGTCACCTACTCAAAGGCGACAGTTTTTCTTTCCGAGCGTGCAAAAACTATAAGAATAATGCTGTTTTCAGAAGTGTCAAAGTCATCTTGTTATCATATTACACTGCAGTTCAACTCTAGCTAAGTTATCTTATTTAAAAAAAAGGCTGTGTGTGCATACAGTATGCTGTAAAACTATCAATACTTATTGCACCTAGATTTAAGTGTAAAGAAATCTGGGAAAGTGTGATGGCTCACAAACTGAAGAAGGAGAACTGGGTCACAGAGAAACATGGTTCCACTTTGGTGAGAGTTCTAATGTAAAAAACATTTAAGATGCTACATCTGACCTGTCAAATCCCATAAATGCTGGCATACTATTACCCTGTATTTTATCAGAATATTTTATAGGATGCAGTGTTATAGGACATAATCATACTTCTTGATATATGATTGATTTGTATGAAAGAAAACATCATGGCCTTGATTTTTATTAAGCTTTCCAAATGATTCACTGATGATTTATCTACAAAAGTCACAATTTTTCAAACTTTTTGAAGTGGTCATGTTGGTAGTAAGCTGGATGTGCAGTGTTTTTTCTTGAAACATGGCACATCCACAGTTAATTGTCACTTGTATGTCGGTGGCTAGATACACCACCTGCACTCGTGACTTTGGCAGCTCAGAACTCTAGGCTGCCTAATATCAATTCTGTGCATATTTTATGTCTTCCGTCCGTGCACACTGCATGCTTGCAACAAATGGTCACTGCTTCCCCGTTGCAGTCGTGGCCTGCAAGAGAGAGCTCGATTCTCCCCTCCCTCGCACCCTCACTCCTTAATTGCAGCTGTCCATCCTTCCTCCATAGACCCTCCATCTGATATTTTTTTCATAGTACCTTTATTTGGTACCCTTAATTATGGCAATTGCACATAAGATTGTAAGCTCGTTTGAGCAGGGCATTCTTCACCTCTTACCTCTGTTAATATTTTGTATGTCAATTACCTGTTGTCAATGTCAATTATCCTCTTTCTGTAATTGTAAAGCGCTGCAGAATATGTTCGCACTATAATAAGGGTACAAAATAAGGGACATACCACTTATGTAGGAAACCAGTCAAAGATTTGCTGTGCCCAAATCTAGTATACACTGGCATTTTATGCTTTAATATGTTTTAATATAATACATTCTGATATCATACTAGCTCCCTCTTTTAGTTTATTTTTACTCAACTCAAAGCAACTTTGCCTCTTTCCACCTGCCTTATTATGCTACATGACCTTGTCATCTCTAACTCACTCACAATACTGGCACTCGCTGAGACCTGGCTGTTCCCCTCTGATACCGCTACTCCCGCTTCTTTATGTTTCGGTGGACTATAATTTTCCCACACTCCCAGACCTGACTGGCGGTGTAGGCATCTTTCTCTCCCCTCAATGCACCTTTCAACCTATCCTCCCTGCCCCTGCCCTGCCCTTTCCTTTACTTACTTTGAAGTTCACACTGTCCGCCTTTTTAAGCCCACTCCTTTAAGAATTGTCATCATCTATCATCCCCCTGGGTCATCCTAGGCTATTCATGGAAACCTTTTTCTTCCTGGCTACCCCACTTTTTCTCCACTAGCACTCCCTCCCTCATACTTGGGGACTTTAACACCCCAATCAACAACCTCAACTGCCCTGATGCCTCCCGTCTGCTCTCTGTAACCTCCTCATTTGGCCTCACTCAGTTGTCTACTTCAGCAACTCATACAGCAAGAAACATTCTTGACCTCATCATCACCAATCTCTGTACCACCTCTAATATCTCCACTGTTCCATTTCCTTTGTCTGACCATCATCTGCTAACATTTGACATCAACATACCCCGTACCCAAATTTCACCACCCTCAACTGCCTTGACTCCAGCATCTCTCCACCAAACTCCAAACTCTCCTTTTACCCATCCCAAATCTAACTTGCTCTAACTCTGCAACCTCACTCTACAACTCAACTCTCTCCTCTCAACTCGATATCATGGCACCTCCTACAAGTAAACGCAGCAAGCGCCCCCAGTTACAACTCTGGCACACCAAGCTGATCCGTTACCTCCAAAAATGTTCTAGAACTACTGAACACTGCTGGAGAAAGTCTCACTTTGCATCTGATTTCCTCCACTATAAATTTATGCTGCGCTCCTACAGCCTGGCTCTTTCCTCTGCAAAAGTAAATTACTTTAAGACCCTCATAAGTACATTGTCCCATCAACCCAAACACCTACTTCACACTTTTGATGCTCATCTTCGCCCTTTTACTCCCCCTCCTTCTACCACCTTGTCCGCCACAAACTTTGCACCTCCCTTCACTGAGAAGATCTCTACAATCAGAGAAGAGACTGCTAATTTCTCTCCTCCCCCTACCAATACATCACCCATCCCCACTCCCTCCACCATTCTACACTCATTCGCACCTGCTACAGCAGAAGAGGATTCTGATCTAATCTGGTCCTCCCGCCCCACCATCTGTTGCCTTGACTCTATTTCCTCATATCTCATCCGCACTTTGTCTCCCTCTCTTGCTCTTCCTCTCACTAAAATTTTCAATCTTTTCCTTTTCTCTGGCACATTTCCCTCACCCTTCAAACATGCAACTGAAACCCCAATTCTGAAAAAGCTCAGCCTTGACCCAAACTCCTCATCCAACTACCGCCCATACTCAGTGGCGTCACTAGGGGGGTGCCAGAGGGGGCCATGGCCCATGCTGGCCATGTGATTAAATTATATTCCCTTGGGCTGTAACAGTCTGTGACAGCCCGAGGGAATGCAGGGCAGAGGGGCTGGAGAGATGCTGGGGCCAGAGGGAGCACTGACAGGCTTCTCGGCACAGGCCCCACCCCCAAACCAAGCCCCGCCTCCCGCACATAAGCCCCGCCCACGCCAGACCATGCTGCAGCAGAAGATGGCTGTCTGACCTCCAGTGACAGGTAGGATTAGTGTGTGTGGACATAGCAGTCTGTGTGTGTATGGACTCAGCAGAGTCTGTGTGTGTGTGTGTGTGTGTATGTATGGACTCAGCAGAGTCTGTGTGTGTGTGTGTGGATGGACTCAGCAGAGTCTGTGTGTGTGTGTGTATGTATGGACTCAGCATAGTCTGTGTGTGTGTGTATGTGGACTCAGCAGAGTCTGTGTGTGTGTGTGTGTGTGTATGTATGGACTCAGCAGAGTCTCTGTGTGTGTATGGACTCAGCAGAGTCTGTGTGTGTGTGTGTGTGTATGGACTCAGCAGAGTCTGTGTATGTGTGTGTGTATGGACTCAGCAGTCTATGTGTGTGTGTATGGACCCAGCAGTCTGTGTGTGTGTATGGACTCAGCAGTCTGTGTGTGTGGGGGGGGGGACTCAGCAGTCTGTGTGTGTGGACTCAGCAGTCTCTGTGTGTGCATGGACTCAGCAGTCTCTGTGTGTTTATGTGGGGGGACTCAGCAGTCTGTGTCTGTGTGCGTGGACTCAGCAGTCTGTGTGTGCATGGACTCAGCAGTCTGTGTGTGTGGGGAGGACTAAGCAGTCTGTGTGTGTGGAATCAGCAGTTTGTGCGTGTGTATTCAGCAGTCTGTGTGTGTGTGTGTGTGTGTGTATGTATGGACTCAGCAGTCTGTGTGTGTGGACTCAGCAGTTTGTATGTGTGTGTATGGACTCATCAGTCTGTCTGTGTGTGTGTGTGTGTGTGTGTGTGTGTGTGTGGACTCAGCAGTCTGTGTGTGTATGGACTCAGCAGTCTGTGTTTGTGTATGGACTCAGCAGTCTGTGTGTATGGACTCAGCAGTCTGTGTGTGTGTATGGACTTGTCTGTGTTTGTGTGTGGGTATGGACTCAGCAGTCTGTGTGTGTGTGTGTGTGTGTGTGTGTATGGACTCAGCAGTGTGTGTGTGTGTGTGTGTGTGTGTGTGTGCATGGACTCAGCAGTCTGTGTGGGAGTGTGTATTTACTCAGCAGTCTGTGTGTGTGAGTGTGTATTTACTCAGCAGTCTTTGTGTGTGTGAGTGTGTATTTACTCAGTAGTCTGTGTGTGTGTGTATGTGGACTCAGCAGAGTCTGTGTGTGTGTGTGTGTATGTATGGACTCAGCAGAGTCTCTGTGTGTGTATGGACTCAGCAGAGTCTGTGTGTGTGTGTGTATGGACTCAGCAGAGTCTGTGTATGTGTGTGTATGGACTCAGCAGTCTATGTGTGTGTGTATGGACCCAGCAGTCTGTGTGTGGGGGGGGACTCAGCAGTCTCTGTGTGTGCATGGACTCAGCAGTCTCTGTGTGTTTGTGTGGGGGGGACTCAGCAGTCTGTGTCTGTGTGTGTGGACTCAGCAGTCTGTGTGTGCATGGACTCCGCAGTCTGTGTGTGTGTGGGGAGGACTAAGCAGTCTGTGTGTGTGGACTCAGCAGTTTGTGCGTGTGGATTCAGCAGTTTGTGTGTGTGTGTGTGTGTGTGTATGTATGGACTCAGCAGTCTGTGTGTGTGGACTCAGCAGTTTGTATGTGTGTGTATGGACTCATCAGTCTGTCTGTGTGTGTGTGTGTGTGTGTGTGTGACTCAGCAGTCTGTGTGTGTATGGACTCACAGTCTGTGTTTGTGTATGGACTCAGCAGTCTGTGTGTATGGACTCAGCAGTCTGTGTGTGTGTGTATGGACTTGTCTGTGTTTGTGTGTGGGTATGGACTCAGCAGTCTGTGTGTGTGTGTGTGTGTGTGTGTGCATGGACTCAGCAGTCTGTGTGGGAGTGTGTATTTACTCAGCAGTCTTTGTGTGTGTGAGTGTGTATTTACTCAGAAGTCTGTGTGTGTGTGTGTGTGAGTGTGTATTTACTCAGCAGTCTGTGTGTGTATGGACTCAGCAGTCTGTGTGTGTGTGTATGGACTCAGCGGTGTGTGTGTGTGTGTGTGGACTCAGCGGTGTGTGTGTGTATGGACTCAGCGGTCTGTGTGTGTGTGTGTGTGTGTATGTGGACTCAGCAGTCTGTGTGTGTGTGTGTATGGACTCAGCGGTCTGTGTCTGTATGGACTCAGCAGTCTGTGTGTGTGTATGGACTCAGCAGTCTGTGTGTGTGTGTGTGTGTGTGTATATGGACTCAGCAGTCTTTGTGTGTGTGTGTATGGACTCAGCAGTCTGTGTGTGTATGGACTCAGCAGTCTATCAATAATTAAAATTCCTGTGAGTTGTTGTGTAGGAAGGTCCCCAGTACATTGCTTTGCCCGGGGGCCCTTAACTCTGTTAAAATGGTACTGCTTGTGTGTGTCAGTGAGCTTCTATTTAGTGAGCATGTGTGTGTCAGTGAGCTTGTCTTTAGTGAGCTTGTGTGTGTCCCTGAACTTCTTTGTAGTGAGCCTTCTGTTTATACAAGTGAGTTTGTCTGTAGTAAGCTTGTGTGTGAGTCAGAGAGTTTTGTCAGTAAGCCTATTTGCGCATGTCAGTGAGCTTGTGTGCTTACTGTACTATATATAGGAAGGCATACATTTTTTTCCAGGGCTACTTTGGATTCCCAGGGATTCCCAGTTTGGCTCTGCCAGCGAGTGCACTTTACCGCTGAATCACCTGTGTGAGCTGCCACACACTTTAGCCCTGTTACACGCATCTGGGAGCTGCTGTTGACAGGTACTAGTAGTCTAGAGATTGGGACATGGGGTATATGCTTAGCTATCTGTACAATACAGATCTGTGTGTATATAATATCCCAGGATAGTCAGAGCTTCCTGTATAGTGCTGCTCTCTGTATAATACAGGCCTGTGCCTGTATAATATCCCGGGACAGTCAGTGCTCCCTGTATAGTGCTGCTCTCTGTCTTGGGATATTATACACAAACAGACCTGTATTATACAGACAGCAGAACTATACAGGGAGCACTGACTGTCCCAATTTATTATACACACAACCCTGTATTATACAGGGAGCACTAACTGTCCAGGGATAGTAATTGATAGCTGTGCTGCAAAAATGTCCTTGGAAATGTTTTTCAAATGTTGGCAACTATGGCACTGTATCAAGGGTAATGTGTTTGTTTTTTAATAATCCCTGGTGGAAAATAATGAATCCTCCACCAGGGATTATTAAAAAAACTAAACACATTGTGTCGGGGTGGGGCTTAACATGCAACAGGGGCGGGGTCAAACTGCGGCGAGGGCTGGGTTAAATGTGCCCCCCTACTTTTGTCCCTGGCCCTCCATGTGCCCCCCTCTAAAAATGAATCCTAGAGACGCCACTGCCCATTCTCGCTACTGCCATTTGCCTCCAAGATCCTCGAGAGAGTTGTGTGCGCTGGTCATTCTGTCGAAACGGCTGTGACCAAAGTATCCAACGATTCAACTGCTGCTAAATCTCGCAGCCATTACTCTATCCTAATTCTCCTTGATCTTTCTGCTGCCTTTGACACTGTTGATCATCAACAGCTTCTTTACATTCTCCACAATTTTGGTCTACGGGATACTGTTCTCTCCTGGTGCTCTTTCTACCTCCCCCAGCGTTTCAGTCTTTCTTTCTCTGACTTTGCCTCTTCTCCCCAACCCCTCTCTGTAGGCGTCCCCAAAGGTTATGTCCTTGGTCCTCTGCTGTTCTCTATCTATACTGCCTCCCTTGGTAAACTCATCAGGTCCTTTGGCTTCCGTTATCATTTCTATGCAGATGACATGCAAATCTACCTGTCCTCTCCTGATCTCTCTCCACCCATCTTGACTCATGTCTCTGACTGCCTCTCTGCCATTTCCAACTGGATGGCTGCTCACTTCCTTAAACTCAACCTGTCCAAAACAGAACTTCTGGTCTTTCCTCCCTCAAGTGTTACTACTCCCGTGTCTGTCTCCCTCCAAGTCAACGGCGCTACCATCACCTCTACCTCACAGGCTCACTGCCTGGGTGTTCTTTTTGACTCCAACCTATCTTTCACCCCTCATATCCAATCAATCGCCAAAACATAATAACAGCTTGCAAAAGTTGCAGATCTCCTGTCTGAAGCATTTCCAAGTCTTACCTTTCTAACTGCACCCAGACTTTTTTTTAGCTGTACAATTACAGAGTCCCAATGGAGCTCAATCAGAAGTTTGACCAATTGTCTGCCTCTTAAGTTTAGCTCCACTAAGCTAACCAAAACTGATGTAACCAAAAAGGATGTAAAAGGAATAAAGGATCACTATAGGGTCAGGAACACAAACATGTTGTAATGATATTGATGTTACAAAGTTTTGGAGTCCAGTAGCCAGATCAGCAATGTTTTCTGCCAGAGGTAGCCACTCGTTACCCAGGTGGTTGAGCCCCTGAGCCTTGAGTGGCCTTCTGGTCTTAAGCAGAGATGGGAGACTGGAACAGAAAAGATGATAATCGTAGTGAGGCAAGCCGAGGTCAGTGGGAAGGAGAAGCAGCAAAGTCAAAAACAGTCCAAATTCAGCAACAGGAAGGAGAAACAGGAACACGCTGGATTAGAGAGTACAGGAACCACAATAATCTGGCAAAGGTACAGAGACAGGAAGTGGCTTTTATAGGGCAAGAACCAGACACCTGACCAGACACAGCTGAAGTGAGTTGTCACTGATAACCTTGACTCTACAAGCAATAGTATCAGATCTCAGGTAAATTTGCAAAAGGCAGGCTGGTGTACTGGTAAGGAAAAGGTTTAGCACCATATAAACCAGGGTTCGAAACCCAGCAGAGTCAGTTCCTCACATTACCTCCACCTCTACAGGCGCAGCCTCTGGATGCCCTATTTCCTGGTTTAGCAGGGTACTGTGCATGGAAAGACTGAAGGAGATCAGGAGCATGAATATTGTCCACTGGTTCCCACGATCTATCCTCCTCACCATAGCCTTTCCAATGAACCAAGTATTGAAGCTTGTTGCGGAAGATCCTGGAGTCAAGAATTTTTTCCACCTCGTATTCATCTTCACCATCCACGAGGACTGGTGGTGGGGCAGGCAAGGCAAGGCTCGACCAGGGAAAGTATTTTCATGAAAAGGTTTAAGCAGTGCCACGTGAAATACCGGATGTATTTTCATGGAATCCGGAAGTTGCAGACGGAAGGTGACTGCATTGATCTGAGCGATTATCTTAAAAGGGCCCATGAACTTTTGACCCAATTTATGAGAAGGAATCCTAAGCTTAAGATTCTTTGTTGACAGCCAAACCTTGTCACCAACATGATAAACTGGGGCCTCCTTTCTGTGCCTATCAGCAGCTCTTTTGTAACATTCCTGAGCCTCCGAAAGAGTCTCCTCCAACAGTTCTTGGGAATCTCGTAAGGCGGTTAGCCGGTCAGTGACTGCAGGAATGGGAGTAGTAATTGGGAGACTCACTAGAAAGGTTGGATGGCAACCATAATTGGCAAAAAATGGGCTCAGAGAAGTGGAGCAGTGTTGGGCATTGTTATAGGCAAACTCCGCCGTGGGTAGAAAATCCAGCCAGTCATCCTGCAGGTAACTAATATAGCACCGCAAATATTGTTCTAAAGTCTGGTTGGTTCGCTCAGTCTGTCCATTACTTTGTGGATGAAAAGCTGAAGACAGATTTACATTAATACCTAGAATAGAACAAAAATATTTCCAAAATGAGATGTAAACTGCACTCCCCTGTCAGAAATTACTTCATCAGGCACTCCATGCAAGCGAAATATTTCCCGAATAACAAGGTCAGCAGTCTGTTTAGCTGAAGGGAGACCACGAGCTGGTATGAAATGACTCATCTTGGTTAACCGGTCCACAACAACAAGAATAGTAGTGTGTTCCTAAAGGGAGGTAGTTCCACAATAAAGTCCATGGATATAGATCCCCAGGGACGATGAGGAATCGGAAGAGGCTGAAGCAAGCCAACAGGGGATGAGCGAGGAGTCTTATGTCTGGTACATACATCACAAGAGGACACATACTTCTTAACATCCTCATAATATTTAGGCCACCAAAAGGATCGGGTAAGTAGTTCTTGTGTCTTTCGGATTCCTGGATGACCTGCTGGTTTAGAGTCATGGTAGAGGCGTAAAACGTCCAGTAGCACTGATTCTGGAACAAACAGACGTTGTTGAAAAATCCAAAACCCATTAAGCATGGTCATATGAAGATCACGAGGAGGATCACGAAAAACTGGATCTTTAGAGTAGCCCTTTTAATGCGAGACATTAGATCAGAAGGAAAGGTAACTCCTAAAAATCTGCTCTCCGGCAAGATGGTGGCCTTGGTTACTGTAGTATGGAGGGGGTCAGCTATCCTAGACAAGGCATCCGTCTTGCCATTTCTGGAACCAGGGCGGTATGAAATAAAAAAATTAAACCTTGAGAAAAATAGGGACCAGCGTGCTTGTCTGGCTGACAGTCTCTTAGCGGATTGGATACATTCCAGATTTTTGTGATCTGTGAGGACAGTAATTGGATGGGTGGCTTCCTCCAAGAGATGTCTCCATTCGGTGAAGGCAGCTTTTATAGCCAAAAGTTC